CAGCAGCTCCTGCCTCCAGCGTTGCAGGCCGCCTCTGTGGGACCCTAGCAGGTTGTGTCCGGGTCCAGCGTGTGGCCCTGGACTTCCTGGGGACGCTGTCTGAAGGGTCAAGTGAGTGAGAACGTTTCCTTCTGTGTGACTTTGTTACTGGGCGAGCCCTATGCCTCCACTTTCCTTTCTGCTCAGAGGCACCCAGGAACTGCTGTTCTGCATTTCTACTCTAAGAGTTGGGACTAGGGTGGTTGTGGGAGGGCAAGGTCTGCAGTCAGATGAGGCCTTGTGAGTCAGAATTGCCCTTTTCTGCTTTTCTGAGGCCTAGATTCACCCATTCCTGGCTACATCGGGAGGGCTTCTAGGGGGAAGGTCCTGGCAGAACCTTCATCTATTCACGTCTGTCTCAGGCCCTCCAGAGTTGGTGGCACAGGTGTTTGCTGTCCTCTTGGAGTACCTCGAGAGCCCTGACTCCAGCCCTATGGTATGGGTTTGAGGAGGGGAGGGAGGCAGAGAGGGTGGACCCCCCCTCCTTCCACGCAGGCTTCTTGGGACCTGGCCTCCTAACAAGGCCACAGAATTACTGTTTGAAGTGAACTTCAAGGGGCAGGTGGCTGCACAGGTTAGGGCTCACAGCCTGGAATCAGTGAAGGTGGGGCATGAAGGGGTGTGGCACTGTGGGGAAGAAGGACAAGAGAAGAGAATTGGGACCGGGATGGCCCCTTGCTTGGGGTCAGCATGTTGCTTGGAAACATGCCCATCCCATAGCCCCATGTGCTGTTGAGCAGGTGGCAGAGAGATTTGGAGGAAGGGCCTGGAGGAGTCTTGGGTAATTTGTCATGTCTTGATGGAGAAATCCCATCAGCCCAGGCGTGGGGCTCCCGGGGAGGGCGGCACCCTAGTCTGAGAAGCTAGCTAGTTCTGCTGCCCCTGGATGCTGCTTCCTTATCCAGAAGAAGCCCAGTGCCCCTGTCTCCCACCCTGGGCAGGGGCAGCACAAGCGAGGGCCGTAGGGCTTGCCCTCGTAGCCCACAGCCCTGCCCTGCCTCTCCAGGTCCTCAGGAAGGCCTTCCAGACGACACTCAGGTGGCTCCCAAGCTCTCCCAAGACCCCTGGCTGCTCTGAACTCCGCCCGCACACCCTGCTATTCCTCCGAGGTAACCCTGGCCGCTCACGGGGGGCAGATAGAGCCAGAGTGCCAGGGACAGAGGCAACTAGGGGCTGGACTGGAAAGCTCAGGTGGCCTGTGTGGCCCTGAAGGCAGGGCGAGCATGACCTAGAGGCCATTCTGACTGCCCCTTCCTGGCCCCAGAGCTGTTCCCTGTGCTGCAGAAACGCCTATGCAGCCCCTGCTGGGAGGTGAGGGACTCGACTCTGGAGTTCCTGACGCAGCTGATTAGACACTGGGGAGGTGAGTGCCCGACGAGGAGGAGGACCTCACCTGGTCTGTGTACTGGGAGGGCTGGAGGCTGCAAGCCTCAGCCCTGGGTCACAGCTTCCTGTGGTCACTTCAATCCTCAGAGCAGGCTGACTTCAGACACACACTCCTGGATTCAGAGATGCCGGAGCTCGCCCAGCAGCTCCTCCGAGATCCTGAGAGTTACGTCCGAGCAAGTGCAGTGACCGCCATGGGGCAACTCTGTAGCCGGGGTCTGCATGCCATCCCCACCAGCCCTGACAACCCAGAGGCCCAGCAGGTAGGAGACAGTGGGCTCTTTGGCCAGCTGGCCTGTGTGCAGCTGCATGGTGGGTGGTCTTGGGAGGACCTGGCAGGAGTGATGCCAGGGAGCCAGTTCCTCTGTGGGAAGAGTCCCCTGTATCCTCCTGCCTTCATCTTTCCAGCTCCCCTTCCACGTAGACATGGTTCCCCACTTGGCAAATGAGCAAGGGGAGGACCAAAAGGCCACGAGCTCCAGGGCACATTGGGCAAAGGAGCCAGAACAGCATTTAGCCCAGACTGACTGGGGGACCTGGTGTTCTGCTGTGCCCTGCTCCTGTCTTGTGAGCCCGCCCTTCTGCCCTGCCAACCTTCTCTTTACTCTGTTCCCCAGGGCCTGCTTGGGGAGTTCCTACACATCCTCTCCACGGACTCAGAGGGCTTCCCTCGGAGGGCTGTCATGCAGGTCTTCACAGAGTGGCTGAAGGATGGCCTGGCCGACGTGGTGTTCATGGCCACAGTGCTCCAGGTGGTGAGCCGGGACCTGGACTGGGAGGTCCGGGCACAGGGCCTGGAGCTGGCACTGGTGTTTCTGACCCAGATGCTGGGACAGCCCAGCCTCCACTGTCCCTATGCTGTGGCTCCACGTGAGGCAGCCCCGCTCAGCCAGCTCCCCAAGGTGCTGCAAACCCTCTCCCGGGTACGGCTCTTGGATTTTGCCTTTCGTGCCTTGTTTGATTGTGACCGACCTGTGGCCCAAAAGTCCTGTGACCTCCTCCTCTTCCTGAGGGATAAGACTGCACCCTACAGTTGCCTGCAGGAGGCTGGGGACAGCCCTGACTTAGCCTCTGTGGAGTCTGTGCTGAGGAGGTGGCGAGTGGGTGAGCAGGGCCAGCCCCTGGAGGACCTGGAGCCAGAGTCTGTGCTGGCCATCCTGAGGTCCATGGACCTGGAGGACCTTCAGGACACGCTGGCTGAGAGCAGCGACCACGTGGAGAAGAGCCCTCAGTCTCTCCTGCAGGACATGCTGGCCACAGTGAGCATCCTGGAAAACGAGGCTGACTGCTACTGAGACAGCCCAGCCCAGAGGTGGAACTCAGGTCCCATTGCTGAAGCCTGAGACAGAGAAGTTGTGCCAGGTCCTTTCTCAGGCCCTTCCTGTCCCCAGGGCTCCTGCCCAGCCCAATTGTACAAGGGACCATCCAGGGGTGCCAGGACTGGGCAAGAGCGAAATTAAAAATTCCAAGTTTTGATGTACTATTAAAGAAGTGGCTTATTTTCTACTTAAAATAAACGTCATTTTAGTTTTTTAAAGTTAACTTTTGTGAATGGGGTAAGACAGTTCCATTGTTATTCTTTTGCATGTGGATATCTAGTTTTCCCACCACCATTTATTGAAGGGATCCCTCATTGAGTATTCTTGGTGTCCTTGATTAGTTGGACTGCATATGATGGGTCTGCAGAAAGTTCATGGAAAGTGTATTTTAGAAAAAAAAAAAACCTGTATGGATTTCAAATTTTATTTTGCACTAAAATAATCTTCACTAACCTTTTACAACATATCCAAATATATTTCTGGCTCTAAGAAGGATAAGAAGTAACTTTAAAAAGAGCCCCTGTGGTGTGGTGGTTAAGGTGCTGGACTCCCACATGGCCAACTGCAGTTTGAGTCCCAGACCTTATGGCTTGCTTTCTCACTTTCCCTTTCTCCCTCTGTCTCTCTCTGCTCTAATTAAAAGATAATTAAATTAAAAAAGAATAATATAATAATAATAAATAAATGTTTAAAATAGAAATGAAAAGAGCCCCTATCAGGGACCAGCAATTAGCGTAATGACTATGTTGCTGGACTTCCATGTAGTCCACTGTGGTTCGCATCCCGGACCCGGTGGCTTAAAACTCACGCTGGGCACGTGTGCGTGTGTACCCAAGATCCCGAGAGGAGAATGGAGGGGAAGAGATTGTGGCATGGCCATCCCCCCTGGGGGGTGATTTCTCGCTTTCTTTCTCTGTGTCTCTCTCTGTCTGTCTGGCGAGCACATGCGCCCTATAGTGAAAACCTCTCAAAAAAAAAAAAAAAAAAAAAAAGAGCCCCTATCAGAGCAACATGAATTCTGCTAAAATTGAAAAATCAAACTTATGGTGAAACTTGGGTAGAAAAATGGTAAACTCATTGATGCTTTTCAAAAAGTTTATGGGGATAAGGACCCAAAGAAGTAAGCAATTACAAATGAAAGGATTTATTTTAAGAAGAGATGAGACAGGGCCAGCAGGTGGCATGGTTAAGATGCTGGATCCCACCTGGCCAACTCCACAGCCTGGAACATGACCTGGTGCCTTGAAAAACACCCCATGCATGTGTGCATGCCCAAAATCCTAAGAAGAGAATGGAGGAGAAGGGTTTGCCATTTGGTCATCCTCCCCAGGGGATGATTTCTCTCTTCTCTCTCTCTCTGTCAATAGTGAGCACATGTGCCCTATAACAAAATTCTAAAAAACAAAAACAGGGATAAGACAATGTTGAAGATGACGCTAGTAGCAACAGACTATCCACATCAGTTCCTGAGGGAAAAAAATTAGTCTTGTTAGTGCCCTAATGGGAGAGGACTGATGGTTTAACAGCAGAAATAGTGAACACCGTAGACATCACGGTTGGTTCAGCTTACACAATTCTGACTGGAAAATTAGAGTTGAGCGAACTACTCGGGTGCTGAAACTCACACGAGATTGGCTGTAGATGAGAACTCTCTGTGGAAATGCTAAGTGGGATCAGTTCTGAAGCATTTCTTTTTGAAGAGCTATAGCAGGATACGTACGACCCCTGGGTTTCCCAGCACGATCCTGAAGACCAAGCACAGTCTAAGCAATGGCTGCCAAGAGGTGGATGGTCCAGTCAGAGCCAAAACAGGTCAAGAGCAAAGGTGATGACAGCTGTTTTTTGGGATGCTCAAGGCATTTTGCTTGTTGCTTTTCTGAAGGGCCAAAGAACGATAGCACCTACTTGTTCTGAGGGTGTTTTCAGAAAGTTAGTCAAAGCTTTAGCAGAAAAACTAGTAAAGCTTTTCCGGAGTCCTTCTCTACGATGACAGTACTCCTGCTCATTCTATTTCTTTTTTCTTTCCTTTTTTTTTTTTTTTTTTTAAAGAGATTTTTGCTGTAGTGCACTTGTGCTCACCAGAGAGATGGACAGAAAGTGAGAAATAATCTCCAGGGGGGATGGCCCTGCTGCAATCCTTTCTCCGTTCTCTTCTCAGAATTTTAGGCATGAACACGCGCTCAACGTGAGATTTAAGCCCCTGGGTCTGGGACTTGAACCACAGTTGACTATGTGGGAGTCTAACGAAACCATTACGCCATCTGCTGGTCCTATCATTCTTTTTCTGAAAAATGCCATCAGAAATTTGACAGGGATTGCATTGAATTTGTAGGCCACTTTATGTAGTATGGACATTTTGACACTAATAATTCTTTCTGTTCCCGAACACAACAAATCTTTCCACTTATTTGTATCCTCTTCATTTTTAAAAATAATTATTTAACTTTAAAAAATTATTGTTACTATATTTTGATTTGCTATAGGGCTCGTGTGCTCATGAGGGAGAAAGAAAAAAAGGTAGAAAGTAAAAAAGCAAGCTGCCAAGTCCAGAATTCGAACCACTGTCGGCCATGGGCCATGTGGGAGTTCAGTGTCCCAACCACCATGCCACCTGCTTGCCCTCTTCTTTATTGCTTTTTTTTTTTTTTTTTTAATCAATGTCTTAGAAGGGATTGCTTCTCATTCATTCTCACCCATTCTCTTCCTGGGATTCTGGGCACGCACAAACATGTACTTGGAGTGATTTTCAAGCCACCAAGTCTGGGACCGAACCACAGTTGGCCACGTAAGAGTCCAGAACCTTAACCACTACACCACCTGTGGGCCCTGATCATGGGATTTTATCCTTCATTCTGTTAAGATGCTGTGTGGAGAGTGGTCATTGTGAGCAAGGTCACCATATTTGCTCAGAATGGCTGCTCTCCATAGTGGTGTATGACACTTGATTTGTATGTGCTGAACAATTTTCCATCTGAAGGATAACTCCTACTTAATCACAGTGTATTATCCTTTTAATATGTTCTTGATTCAAGTTGCTAGTATCTTGTTGAGGATTTTTATAGATGTCTTCGTTCAGGATATTGACTTGTAGTTTTCCTTATTTTTGTAGCAAGATTATATGGCTTTGTTATGAGGGTATTGTTGGCCTCATAACATTAGTTTGGAACCATAAGACTCTTAAAACAGGGACAAAAGTCCTTGCCATTAGTCTTGACAGTGATTTTTTTTGGATAATACACTAAAGCATAGGCAGCAAAAAAAAGTAAAATAAAATAAATAGTGGGACTATATTGGACTAAAAAGCTGAGCCAGCTCCCTGACACAATGGTAATGTGCTGCTCAGAAAAGCTGGATTCCACATGGTGATCCTGGGTCAAGTCTTTGACCCAGTCAGCTTGAAACAAACCAGGCATACACATCACTGCCCAAGATCTGACAGGCTAGAGACTGGAAGAAGGTGATTACCGTGACCAGACCCGGTGGAGAGTACTTCTCTCACTCTCTTTCTCGCTCTCACTCTGTCATGCACAGCTAAAAAAACAAACAAACAAACAAACAAACAAAAACCCAGAATGAAAAACGTATAGATTGGGAGAACGTATTTGCAAATCATATATGTGAGAAGTCAGTAATATTCAAAATATTTAAGGAATTTACACAACTCAATAGCAAAAAAGAAAGTTAATCACGTAGTCTTGCCATTCCACTCAACCTGTGCTTTTCGATTCCCAGCAGTGACTTGGGGACACCAGAGAAATGACTGGAGCAGTCCCAGGGTACCTATGTTCTTAAGAGTGCAGAAAAATATGAAAGTGTGAAATATGAGAAGCACAGATCCTGAGGGGACTTCAGAAAGTTCATGGAGAGACCAGCAGATGGCGTAAAGGTTACATCGCTGGTCTCCCATGTAGCTGACCACATTTCAAGTCCTGTACCCAGTGACTTAAAACTCACGCCAGGCACGTGTGTGTGCGTACCCAAGATCCCAAAAGGAGAATGGAGGAGAAAGGATCGCGGTGTAGTCATCCTCCCTGGGGGGTGATTTCTCACTTTTGGTCTCTCTCTCCAGTGAGCACACGTGTCCTACAGCAAAAATCTCTCTTAAAAAAGGAGTTCTTAGAAAGATGAAATTAAAGGGCAAGTTTTATGAGAGGTATTCAAAAATTCCTGGAAAACATATAGTATCAAAAAAAAAAAAAAAACCCACCAGAAAAATAAAAACAAAAAACCCCACTATGCATGTGCTTAAAGGGCAAGTTTTATGAGAGGTATTCAAAAATTCCTGGAAAACATATAGTATCAAAAAAAAAAAAAAAAAACCACCAGAAAAATAAAAACAAAAAAACCCACTATGCATGGGGCCAGCTCAATGGTGCAGCAGTAATGAGCTACTCAAAGAGAAGCTGAATCCCACATGGCTGCCATGGTTTGACTCCCTGGCTTTGTCAGCCTGAAACACTCCAAGCATGTGTGTGAATGCCCAAGATCTGATGGACTGGAGGGAGGGGATCATGATGTGACCCTAGCCTGTGGAGGGTGCTTTTCTCTCTCTCTCTTTCTAGTGTGTGCATACACAGACTATCATAACAAAGGAAAAAAACTATGACTAGATTTCAGGGTTTTTAAATTTTTATTTATTTATTTTTTTACCAAGATAAACTTATACCTTAATTCTATTTTTACTCTGGTGTTTTGGTGAAAAAAAAAAAAAAACCTTGTCAAAATCTGTCTTTATTTTTTTCATAATATACATTTTTTCGTTAACTTTTTGGAGATCCCTTGTACTAAATAAAGTACCAAATTGAATCTAAGCAGCAGGTGTGATTCAGGGAGGAAGGAAAGCCGGTACCCTAAACTTATCATCAGACTCAGGTTTCAGATAGGAATCAGGTACAGGCCCCACAGCCTCTTGATAGGAGTTGGAGCAAAGTCACATGGCAAAGGGTATGATGATTCAGGGAGGGATGGAGAACCGGGGTCATTTTGTCAATTGACCTACTGCAGAAGCAAAGCTCAGCATCTTCACCCCATGACTGACAAAGAGTGGTTGGGCCTTGGTGCTCAGGGACTCACCAAGTGACCTGCCTCGCATGGGCCTTCATGGGGTTGTGGGGACAATAGTTCAGCCTCAGGATTTGGCCATGAGCCCTTTGTGAGCCCATGTCTTAGGCAGTATTGCAGCCCTATTCAGCATCACAGAGTGGCTCTCTCAGAGGTTTGTTGAATGACTGAGTGACCTAAGTCAGTTCCTGTACCAAGCAGCCCAGAAAGGCAGCCTTTTTCTCAGGGTGCAGGCCTAGTTTTTGTGGGGGTATCTGCACTTATGGGGTGCTGCACCACTCTTGTCTGCTGGGAGCCCGAAGATGCAGAGACCTCCCATCTTGCCCCCTCCGTGGGGACCCTCTTCCCTGCACTCTTCGGTTCCTGTCAGAGCCAAGATGTGTCGCCATGGAAACTGCTTGGCAAATGCTGGCAGGCAGAGGCGGCCAACAGCAGCTCGCGTTATCGAGCTCCGGGCGCCCGTTGGAGAGACATCGCGGGGACAGCGTGAGTGAGCACTCCTGGCTGTGTGTATGCACATGTGTGGGGAGAGAGGCTGGGGTGGTGTGTGCAGGTGGGCACGCAGGCACTGGTCCCTCTGTGCGTGTGTCCACATGTGTGTGCATGCACGTGTGCATGTATGAGTGGGGTGGGAGAGCTGTGTTTGCACGCGTGTGCTCAGAGTGATGGCTGCATGGGCAGGGTGCTGGGCGTCTGCAGAGATGAGAACAAGCGAGTGATGCTGCGAGGTGCCGCAGTGCAGCCATCTTGGTTGAGTGCTCACTATGGGCTGGGCCTTGCACTAAGTGCTGACAGGACCTTGACAGAAGTGGCCACTGCTACCCAGCCCTCCAGTGTGTGGTTCCAGCTAAAGACAGCAACTGATTAGGTAAGTATTGACTAAAGTGCACGACAGGAGGGCTTCTGGGAGGAGGCAGCTGTTGCTCCTGAAGCCTAAATGTGGAGTGGAGTCGTCCAGGCAAAGGTAGACTGATGGGTACTTCAGGTAAGTCACCCTCTGAGCAAAGGCCCAGAGACTGGAGAGGGAGAGAGGTTGGAGCTGTCAAGGATGGCAGTGGGGGGACAGGGGCCAGAACTCATGTGGGCCTGACCAGGATTGGGGCTTCATCTGAACCTGGGAAACCCAGTTGGGGGTGCAGGGTGCCAAGAGAAAAAGGGCACATTTTAAGCAGAGGAAATCCAGAGATGGGAGCCCCAGAGGTGGCTGGGACAGAGGGGAGGGGACACTGCTGACAATTGGCAGAAGTGAGATGTGGTGGGTGAGGTAGCCAGGGCCTTGTAGGCACTATCAGAAGTTTGGGCTTTATTCTCAGAGCAAGGGGGGCCTTTGAAAGGCTTAGCCTGGGGGCACATGGCTTGGGAGCGGGGGCGGGGG